GCATTTTGATTTTAAATACAAGATGTTAGTTTATTTTATTTTCATATATATATATATTATTTTTAAGCTAATTTATTTAAATTATAAATTAATATATAAATTAATATTATATATGAGTATTTTAGAGATATTATGTCTTATTTATTATAATTAAACAATTTATTTACCTTAAAAAATGGAGTAACAAATTATAATCTTGTCAGTTGTCACTCTATATTTTTGATATATCATAAAACAACTTCAAACAGTGATCAGTGATGTATCCTAACTTCATCCCTTAAAACAGAAGTTAGAAAGGATCTTGGCCATACGAAGGAAAAATTAAAAAAAAAAAAAAAGAGCTCGGGTCTTCCTTTTCTTTGTATATATTTTATTCAATAAATCGACATAATTATATTATAATTGTTTGGCCAACTTATGATTTTATCAGATTTCCCAAAATCATCTCACAAAAAATTTAAAACTAAACTCACCTGATACATGCCATGTAAATAAAGGAGGCTCCCATGTGGCCTTATGTCCCTTTCTCTCTCAGTCCCTCTGAATTGGCTTCACAGGCCACAGTATCCTATTCTGCCCATAACCACACCTGCCACTCCGTTAAAGATCCAAACTAGATGTTATAAGCCATGCGCAAATAATAAAATTATTAAAGCACACAAATGCATAATATTCAAAATTAAACCGTGTAGTTGAGTAGGTTGCCCATTCTGGCCGTCTCCTTTAATTCTTATTTTATTCTTCCGTTTGCCTGGTTCACTCTTCATCTTCTCTTCCTCCCTCATTCCTGCGGGTCAGTCTTCGAAGCTTCTGCCTTTCTTTTGATTTCAGAGCTTGCAGCCTTCGACTAAACTCCTTCCCAATCAGTCTGTAAGTATTCAGAATCCTTTCTCTGCCTCTGTCATTGAGATACAAAGTCAGAAGTGTAATTTGATTGTAACTTTTTCTTCTATGCCTCCCTTGTTTGCTTATCCTTTTGGGTTCATCTGGGTGTCGGAATTTTCAATCAAGAAATTGTTCTTCTCTCGTTATTTTCGTAGAAAGCTTAGTCTTTAATGGAAAGAAACAATCCACTGCATTCTGATCCAGTTTCCCCCCTGTTTCCCATTAAAGTCTAAAGCTTGCCGAGCTAATAAGTTTGGTCGCGTTTATATGGCAAACTTTTTCTGGACCAGTTGCCTAAGATTGATGCTTTTTCCTTCCTTCCTTTCCAGGGTATGGTCAGATACTTGTTCTTGGAGTTTGAAAATCTCTCTACTAATTTGATTCTGTTCAGGGAATAGTAACTATATTCTGGGTTCTATCGGGTTCATTTTCAATACTATGGAAATTCAAACCGGCCCGGCCCTTCTGCTTTCATATGCAGGCTTCTGATTTTCCCCACCCCTATTTTCTGTAAAAATGATATTTAGAAGTTATTTTTGGAGGTAAAGCATAGGAGATCCTGAATATGTCGATCATATTAATTTTTCTCTACTCAAATTCATTTGTTGGCGAAAGTTTTCATTCTGGCGATATGAGAAAGATTATGCAGGTGATGAATAACTGGATATTGATAATTAATGAAGATTTAGTTAATCCAGAAGGTAGATTGATAAAATACGTCTTTTTTATTCGTGGAAGAATTTGAAAGTTTTGTTGTGCTTAATTTTCGAGTTCTTTCCAGACGGTTTAGATTCAACAGCGTCCTTTGAGTTTGTTGTGAGCTTAAATTTTGAATACACTGTGGATCTAATTCTAGGATTACACTCTATCTTGAAAAGAAGTCACGTTAGTTGATTGAAGATTGAGCTATACATATTCTTTCCTAGAAGATATCTAGGAAGTTAATGGTCCCAATTGGAACTTATGAGCCTTTAATGAAAACTAGTTCGGTGAATGCCTTATTCTCTTGCTAATGCATGATGAGGACGAATCCTAATATTGATGAGATTGTGGCCATTGATTTCTTTTGACATGACTGGTTTCTTTTCTTAGAGCGAGTTGGTATATACATTTGTCTAGTTCCTCTCTGTTTATAAAACTTCTCTTCCGCTCATAATTGTTTCTCATACAACATACTTACCTCTGGGGTTTGTAAACTGAACTTTATTAGGTAGATTTTCTCATTGCAGCTTCATCCTTGAAACTATTTGGGTGGTTTGGTTAGGCAGTAAGTTTGAGGTGGGTCCTCCATCCCTTGTAATGGCAATCAAATAAATGTAAATCTTGACTATGTAACTAACATATTTAATGTCTGTAATATTTCTTGTTCTTATAATTGTGGACAAAAACAAATAATAGACTCTACTCAATGAATTGGATCCTGCATACACTGGCGTTATTTATTGCATGAAACGGCAAAATTTTAGTTAGGCGACCTTGAGATTTGAATTGACTGGTGGTTTGATTAGTAATTTGAAGCTCATAGTGCTTGTCTTCAAACAACTTTAGCATCAGTATGGTTAGATCATGTTTGCCAACTCTTCACTGTCGAGGAACAGTGAAGCCCTATTAATTTCTTTAGTTGTCATCCGTGCAGCTTAATTTTTATGTAGGTCAGCGGTGCTGTAATATTACAATTCAAACATTTAGGTTTCCTCACATTAGCTTTATTTCTTTTTCTTTTTTTTAAATATTGAGCACTAATTTTGTGGAAAGTTGTACTCAAAATGGCCAATTGTGAATGGCCCATTCTATAATGATTGAAAATGAGCAAAGGTTTGGACCTCTGTTTATTCATCTTTGTCAATTCTATAGTTCAACTCTTAAAACTCATATGCTCCGTCAATGGTGTATACACCAGCTTACGTGTCTTTGTTAAGCCATCTTTCCCCGCTAGAAAGAAACTAAATGCTATATCTTGGTTCGAAATTTGTTGATTAATTTTTAAGCATTTTGGCTGACACTATAATTATGAATGTTCGGTTATTCTGTTATCAGAGACACTCATGATTCTTACGTTGTATATACTTGTGCTTTTCAGATTTAGACATCCAAAATATCACATTGTAAATCCGAAAATGGCTGCCCTAGATCAGTATTTTGAGGAGGCTTTGCCCCACACCGATTCCTTTGGTGAAGATAACTCTTATTCAGAAAAATGGGAATCTGGTACAGATTCCATTGCAGACTCTGATGGAAATGACTCTAATGGCTTTGATTGCAATATCTGCTTTGACTGTGTGCAAGATCCAGTGGTCACTCTTTGTGGTCATCTCTACTGCTGGCCATGCATTTACAAATGGCTTCATTTTCACAATCTCTCCAACCAAGAAAATGGCGAAGAACAGAGTCCACAGTGTCCGGTATGCAAAACAGAAGTTTCCCAATCCTCGCTGGTTCCACTCTATGGCAGAGGCCAGACCACAAAACCTTCCAAAGGCAAGTCCCACCATGTGGGGAGTATGATCCCACAAAGACCACATGGACCTTTGTCTCTGGTTGATCCTCGAAGACCATTTAATGCTAGTACTAGTGCAGTTCCACAACCGTCTTCCCAATTCTATCATGGTCATTATCCTTATTATCATCCTCAACAGTTCAACTCAATTTCAAGCAGTTCCAACTCAGGAATGCTTGGCATGGATGGCGCACTAAGAAACGCATTTGATTCAAGAATTGGTGTGTTTGGTGAGATGGTATATGCGAGAGTGTTTGGGAACCAGGTGACAAACGTATACGCTTACCCTGATACATATAATCTGGCAGTGAACAGTAATCCAAGGATCAGAAGGCATTTGATGCAAGCTGATAAGCAACTGAATAGAATCTGCTTTTTCCTGCTTTGTTCTTTAGTTTTGTGTCTTCTCTTATTCTGACAGCTATTTTATTTCTCCTAGTGTAATGCATACGTCTCTGTAAAGAATATATATATATTTATATAAACACGCATCAATCGGATCCAGCCTTTTGTATCATATTTGAGAGTTGCATGTGAACGCTGAAATATATTATACTTGTGGGAAGTTCTATGTTTTAATATAAAAAAGTGAACTATTTGTGTATCCTTGTATGGGATCTGAATATTTACACCTCAATTTCTTTTAGCTATAAAACAATGAAGAGAACGAAGATTAAAGTTATTCTTATCCAACTTGCATGATTAGGTATAATTATGTGTGGGGGTCGAGGCTTGCGAAGACCCCCACAAACAGAGACTTGGATTCTGCCATACTATTGGTTGCTTCGCCTGATTTTCTTGGTGCTGTGGACTTTCTGGGCTTATTTCTTGGACTGTGTTTTTGGCTCGATTGCTAAGCTACAGAAACATGTTCGTTTTCTTTTGAGAACATGATGGAATTGGAAAAACAGAAAGTAGGTCCCAGATGAGTCAGGTAGAAAGTTAAGGATATCAAAGGAAACCTGTGTGTGGACAAAATTACGTTGTTAAGTGTAGTTGATGGCGACGGGGGACCTGCTAGTGCGGATAAGAATCACATGGGGCATGGCAAATACCAAGAAGATTGAATGATCCGCAGATAATGTTTCGTGGCTTTTGCAGAGTTGAGATGTAAATTTGTATTAATTTTTTTTTTTCAAAAGTGCTAGACATTCGGAAATATTTTTAGTTACAGATTTATTTAAAAATTTAAAATCATGACAATTTTATTTCTTACTATTAAAAAATTAATATTAAGTGTTAAAATAGTAATATTAACTGTTTAATAAGAGGAGGCAAAATTATTATGATTTTAACTATTTGAAACAAATTTGTATTCAAAATTTTTTTCAAGTATCTAACACTCCTAAGTGAAAATTTTCAGAACAAATTTACACATTAATCCAACAAATATCCTTTACAGTTTATTTTTTTGAAATTGAAATTCATTTGAGATCTAAGAATATAAAATAAATTTTAGAGGATTGGAATTAAATTGAAGGAACTGAAGTTCAATAAATTTATTTTTATCGAGTTTTGTTACCATGGTTTCTATTGGATTTTAAACTTAATATTTGAGTTTATTCTCACTCCCCCCCGCACGGCAATATTATTTTTTTTTCAGCCAACACCCAAACGGCCATATTGAAATTAACTATTACTAAGTTATTTAATTTCTTCCCCATAAAATCATTTTTTAAATGTCTTAAGAGACTAATGCAACCTAAGAATGTATCACTTGCCACTATTTAGATTGATGCCTGGCTTTCTCTCGTAGCGGCCAATCATAGTCTTCAGGAGTTGAAAGAGAACCCTTGTTAACCCTTGTTTATGTCTCATTCTGAAGCCTTCACAAGAACCATGGCCATAGCTAGCAGGAAGCATTTCAATCTTCAGTTTTCTCCGTACTTCCACTTGGTCAGAGGACAAAGGCACGCTTTATCAGAACCCTCAATTTGTAACTTGCAAGCAAGGGAACAACGGATCGAGCAAAATTCATAAAACGACATGCATCAGCTGCTTCTAATATATTATAGCACACCAACAGGCAATAGAAGCCTTGTGCTCGAGAACTTAGGTGTCTTCTCTCTCATCATCTGGAGGTTGATATTTTCTATCTAACAGAAAATGTTGTTCCATGATAGCATCTGGGTTGTCATTTTGAATGTAATCAAATAATCTATCATAGGTACCCACGGTTATAATGCCTCTTTGTCTACATAAATTTATAAGGTCACCAGCATATTCTGAATCGCCCTTCTCTTTCAAGTGCTTAATGCAAGCAGACAAAGTAAACGGGTTAAGCCTTGATACAGGTCGATCTGCCATTATTGCTTTCTTCACCATTTCCAGAGCTTTTTCCATATCATTCTGTTCCTTATATCCATTGGCAAAATGAGCCCATGTTGTTCCCTCTGGTTTCATCCCAAGCTTCAAATACCTACTTATCAATGCTTCAGCCTTATCCAAAAGACCTTTCTTACAATAAGCACCGATAAGCATATTAGGAATCCTCATATCAGAACAAGTATTATCAGATTCCCATTCCTCCAGAATTCTCTCAGCACCATCAATGTCATCCAACTTCAATAATGAGCCTATCATAGAGACGTAAACAGAATTACGTGAACGCCCCAAGTTCTTACACATACTACAAACACGATAAACCTCTTGTTTGTTGCCGATGGCAGCATACATATTAAGAAGAGTTTCATAGGCAATCCTCCTTGTCCTTGAGCTTTCATTGATGAGATGCTCCGATCTCTTCAGCATTTGTAAGGCCTTTTCAGAAAGCCCAGCTTTTATATAAGCCTTTGCAGGAAGGGCATATGTATGCCAGTCCACTGCTGCTCCATTAGCTTCCATTTGCAACAGAAACTTCTCCATGCCCTCAATGTCTAAGGTTTTCGCATATGCATTCAACCGAATGCTGTAACTATATCTGTCACAGATGCGCTTCTCTTTCATTTCTTCCATCAAAGTTTCCAATTCCTCGTATTTACCCAACCGACAATAAAGGCTTAACATGACATTATAAGTCAGTACACTAATCGAACTGCACTGTTGAATTTTCTGCATGATTGCCTCTGCTTTCTCTACATATCCATGCTCTGCATAGCAGTTCAGAAGAGCACAGTAGACCTTGGAGACTTTTGAAGTTTCTGGAATGCTGGAAAAATATCTCTCTGCTTCATCTAGCCCATGGACTTTTGATTTCAAGTCAAGCTGTATAGCAATATCTGCAGTGGGTAATTGGTTGTTCATCTCATTGCTCATCCATTCCGACACCTGAGACGAAAAAGATTATTCCTTAATTTGTAGTTTTAAAGTGTCAAGCTTGAGCAGAAAATTGCCTTCTATCCAAAATAAGGAAGCTTTGAAGATCAAAACTTAGAATTGGTGACATAAATGCACACCATCAGGGTATTGCATTTACAGACACAATACTTTTGGATTAGCGCATTACATTTACCAGCATAGTCTTGTTACCAAATGGCAATATTTTTTCTAGAGCAAGTGATCAGCGCCAGGCAACCGCTTGATTTGAATCAATATTTTCTTAATATTACATTGCACATAGTCCCCTTCCAATTTTATTTTTCTTTACTCTTCAGAAATCAGCAATTTGCCAGAATCTTACTAAATTAAAATGGGCATTTAATACTTAATCTCTATAATAGTTTCGAGGCCTCCCAATGGAAAAGTATTACCTGAAGGGCATGAGAGAAGCGACGATACTTTCGGAGCTGCTTGATTATCTTGTGGAGTTCCGATCGCTTGACCGGTCTGCCTTCTTCAACCCATTGGTCGAGCAAACAGGCCATGGAGATATTGGGGTCTCCAGACCTCGAAATGCGAAGGTACAGAGAGTCAATATGAGGGGAAAAACGAATCACAGGTCGGGTCGAGATGAAAAGAGACCCTAAAACCCGTGAGTCGCGGCATAGATTCCATGGGGAGCGAATGAGCAGCATCATGCTTTGCTCTTTCAGTATCTTCTAGGTTTTACAGGGGTTTAAGGGGGACAAAGCAAACCAGCAACACGCACTTGGGCGAGGTGACTTGGAATTGGGGCAAAATCCTCGATTACCATTTTATGAGAACTAAGAACTTAAATTTTATTAATTTTAACTTAAAGTTTAATTAATTTTTTAATTTTATTTTTTGTTAAAATGTTTTTATTTAATATATATACTCTATATTTTAATATTTTATTTCTGTAAACAATAAATGAAAGGTATCATTATACTTTGAAATAAAAAATTTATCATATGATCTATAAATAGGAAAAAAAAACCCATTGCATTATAAATAGGAAAAATCTAAAAAAAATTGCATTTTAAAATCTTAAATTAGTTTTGTTTACTATATTTTAATAGCAACTGACTATATTTAAAAAGGAAATGACAACACATTTTTATACTAATTTTTAATTTGAAAATTTAAAATTTAAGAGGTATTATTTTAAGATTTTCTCTTATAAATAAGATTAGAAAAGTATATTTTTTAACCTCAGTATATGATAAAATTTGTAACCATATAAGATGAGATGGACATAGAGGGACTTATTTTAAATCATTTTGATGTGAATAAAAAATTATAACATCCGATACTATATTAGTGATTTAATAAAATCTATATATTTCTTTTTATAGCAAAATCATATCGAGTTGACTTGTATTATGTGAAGCGAAACTGCAAAAACCGTCGAAGAGCGAATAGTGTCTCTGGTTTCTTCACGTGTTTGAAACAACAGTTCTTGGGTCCATGCTGTCATCTATGGTTGCTTGGGTAAGTGGAGGCATTCTAAGAGTCTTTAGAATGAAAAAGAAAGAACGTCATTCTTAACATTAATCTCTTCACATACGGCAATAAAACAAACAAATGAACAAATAAAAAAATAACAACATGTAGAGAAATGATCCTGCATAAAAGTCCAATGTAGAGAAATCATCCTGGATAAAAATCCAATCGCACAAAATGTCAATAATGATTCCACCTAAATCTGTGAGACACTCTTGAATGACCAACTTTCACCAATGTTAATGTTCATGCATATCTAAAAGATCAATAAGGATTGAGGATGAGTCAAAGACGAGAGGGAAGGGATCAATTGATGTCGGGACTGGGTCCAGTTGGAGGCACAGAGCCTTTGGGAAGCTTGGCGGTTAGGGTGGTTAGTGTCTCCGCCTTGGAAAGAGGCCTTCCTTGGGAAACTGAAACCTGCAGAATCAGAATTAGAACAATGATCATCGCGAGCCATGGGAAGCTTCTGAATCTGGAACTTGTTTCTTGCATCTTTCTGGGTTTACAAAAGTTCAGAGGCCAGATGGTTTTTATATAAAGTGGTGATCGTCAAAGTCAGAGTTGACGAAGCATGAATACTCCTGGCCGGGCCGGCTACAACTGGGATTTCGTCAAACGCTTCTCCGTGTTTTTGCCGGCAAAATCATTATTCTGCTTCCTGTGCTTACGTTTGTAAGGGCGGGCATTTGATCACAGGAACATCCCTCGAGATCAAAATTTTATTTCTTGGTATGTCTTCAAATCTTGTATTGTTGTTTCCAAATCCAGAGCATAGGCTACAATCAAATTCGTAGATGGCAATCAATCGAGGTGCACTCTCCTGTTTAAAATAATGGGAGAAATATGGATGGTATTATCAAATTACGCATCTGGATGAAAACAATCCAGTTAATGCGGTTGTGAAACTGCAGCTTGCCGGTTTGGAACCTTCTTAGAATATTCCATCAGTGGCATCCGAGCTTCTATCAACACACTCGTATTTTAATTATACTTTGATTTTCCTTTCCAGATTTCTGTATTGCTCATCATGGATGTGCTAAATAGAAATTAAATCCCATTCTGATTCAACATAAAAAAAAAAAAAAAAAAATCTGCCAGGGCATCCAATATTAGTTTCTCCATATCACATCCTTCCTCGCTGGACTTTTGATATGATGCTACTGGCACAAACATTTTATCGAAACCGAATAGATACTGCCGACATTTACCTGCATCCACTACGGGGAAAAAAAAATCGAGCGAATCAATTTGACATGGAATAGAGGGCGACGTATCTCAACGACCCGGTAATAATCCAAACTTTCTGCTGCAGGGGCACATATTGCCCAAGTATCCAATAATGACTGGCCAGAAAGTCACAGAAAGTACTAATTATAATAAGACTCCAGTACACTGCAAGGTCAATGATATTTTGCCCTTTGCTTTACCATGTACATGGAAGTCAGCAACATACACAATGATACATGCATTCTCGTTAGCAACAAGCCAACAGGTATACACATTGTCTCGTCAGGTAAGGTGAGCCTCCAACCCATCCACCTACCTAAATGGCTACATCTATCCAAAGAGCTAATCATAGTTTTTAAGAAATACACTATGTGCAAAGATGTACAACATATTATGGGTCATGGATCATGTGGGATAGATTTGAAAATGCCGATTGCTAAGATTCCACGGCTATCGTGTTTCTGTGTCTAACTTCTCTCATCAGCACGAGATAGAAGTGCAGCAATTTTATGGGCTTCACTTTTTCCTATATAAGCAAATCGATCATAATAGATTATGTTAATAATGCAATATTGATTTTCATCTTTATGAAACTATAAGCACATATTTTGAGCACCTGGCCTATTTCCTCAGATTGTGCAGGAAAGTGAAATCCAGTCGAGCAATTCTGCAAAAGTTCAGGACTTTTTATCCATTCTCTACGTGCATCACATGCCTTTATTTTTAATTTGAACATCTGCCAAAACACCAAAAAGATACAGTGCATCATAAATTCCAAATGAACATTTGCCTCGATGCTAACTGGTCTCCATAAAAATAAACGAAAGGGCTGAGGCCCAAAAAAAAAATCCAAATGCTTCAAAGAAACAGAAGAAAACTAAGATATAAATGGAGGGTGAAGAGAGGCGGGAGTCGTAAAATGAGCAAACCTCAGACAAAGAAAAAGGTGCATGCTCCACTTGATCCCCCTCAATGATGATACCTGTACCCTGGCACTCTGGACAGAACACAGAATTTATTTTCCCTCTAGCAGCTTTCATATCATAGTCTTTTCCATTTTGATTAACATTTGCTCCCATCTTTCTCTTGGTTTTTCTTCTGACTTTTGGAAAGGCAACACGACTGGTGATCATGTCAAATTCACACATCAGTATCCAGTGTACAAGGCAGGATGCATGAAACAAGTGAAACGCCTGCAAGTAATAATCGGGAAATGAAATTCCTTTTCCAAATTTAGAGAGATAATGTTTGAATACCAAACTTTCAATCAAGCTTGATATCAGAAACATGAATGACAGATTAGCAAAATGTCTTACCCCAGTGCTATTCGACTACTGCAAGCTAGTCTCCTGGTCTTCGAATTAAAAAGTGTTGCTACATCTTTTACCAGGAAGCATTTTTTTACAGATATCACACATTTTCTCTGCCGCTAATCGCTGCTGCCGTCTCAATTCTTTCCTTAAAGCCTTGCTTGAAATGAACCTGGTTGGGAAGTTGATTGTCAATTTGACCCAGGGCCACACTCTGAGGTGGCACTGTTAGAAGCTGAAGAGTC